CAGAGTGGAAAAAAGCCAAGGGTGGTCAAGTTAAGACCTGGCATGGGGTTATGAAAACCCTAACCAGGAAATTGGGTCACATATGTCCTTTTAGGCTCCCTGGCTGGGGACCTCGGGATGATCGTAACCGATGGTTGGAGACACTGAGTGATATGGCTGGGTGTCGTAAACAGTGGCGTTCGTGCATCTCCTCAATTTCCTTGCAACCTTAGTCCACTGAACTTCTCCATTTTCCTTTCGAATCCACTTTCAACTTTCCTTTCTTCTCCTATTTTTCATCCCAATGGGCAGCCAAAAGACAGCAACCAAAACCGGTTCACGAAAGTGCATGGTTAATGGTTGTTCAAACTGAGCTGAACTGAAACTTCCATGAGCTGCCTTATGTGCCTCGGAAGAGGGTGGTTACTCGATTGGAAATGTCTTATTCTAGTTTCTTATTTTCTTATTCTGGTTTCGCGCGGGTATAATCGAAACAGAGATCACTTTTTTGTCCTCTTCAAATGCAGCATTTTCTAGCTCGGTTTGTAGAAAACCCTTCAAGTTATAGAGTTTTCAAATGGGAATTCGTCGTGTATATAGCAAACGAAACGTAAACTGACAAGCTAGGAAGCTCTGGACAGCTGTTTCGACCTGGTTGGGTCTCATCAGCTGTGCGAATCCATCGACCCAACTGGGGATCGAACCCGGGACCTCATGGGCAGAACGCAAGCATGCTACCCACTACGCCATCGGGTAGCTGATTAAACTGTTTTTCATTTTCCATCTACACAATATGGCACAACCCATCTTTTCGGGCCGCAGACCCTGCTCATCTCAGCATTAGCCTTCCGGGTTGCGAGTCGGTTGAAAACATTCACAACCTGATTACTTATTTCATGTGAGTAATGGAGGATTTGCTAAATTTTACAGAGCCATCCTACCGGGAACATCAAAAGAGGAGCCTAATCTGTAACCACTTGAACGGAAACCGGCGATAGATGCTGCCAGTCAAAATATCCTCCAAGTGCTACCTTTTTATCCACTTAATGGTTACGCATCTGATATTTTCTTGATTACTCTGCTTTATTCCCCGGTACGTATGATTGATTTGTTCTTCTTCCTCTTCCAGACAAACACCATGGATCCGGCAACGATTGTCCAAAATGTAACAAATACCACAGCGGATTCTGTAGAACCAACCCCTGCGGGTTTATTCTTGTCGTCCACAGTTCTATTTCTTTTAGCTTTAGGACCTATTTTCTTTGGGTCCTTGAGGTCTAAAGCACCACAAAACGAGGTGAATAAAAAATATCGAATTCTCACTCCTGTCTTTCAGAGCGATGTTGAGGTTGTGACGTCACGCAATGCTGCAGTATTTCCGATCTACGCTAGTGGTGCCCTCTTTGGAATTTATATCGTTTTCAAGGTACATTTTTCGTTATGTTGAGTAATCGACATGCGCACCCTTTTTGCAGTTTTTGCCGACGTATTACATCAACTTGATAGTGAATTTTTATTTTTCACTGATGGGCGCTGGTGCTATGGCTACACTCTTCAGGTAAGTTGACCACTACCTCCATTTTATGCTATTTTCACATTTAGTCCAGTTTTGCGGCCATTATTACCCAAGTCATTAAAAAACAACTTGTACAAATTGGAATTCTCCAAGTGTAGCGAAGCGAAGCAAGATGATGGTTCATCCGGTTGGAAAGTGGACGGTAACTCTCAATTTATAATTGTCCCTATTTGTTTCAGAGAATAGTTCGATTGAAGTTGAAACACGCGATTTCCCTGGTGTATTGGTCGGAGTGGCTATTGGTATTTGGTACTTCGCTACACGTGTAGGTTTGCAATGTTTTTACTATTCATCCGATCCCCTGTGCTTCGTTAGCATTGGATTGCCAATGATTGTATAGCCTACAGTCTAGCCATTTTGGCCATTGAGTATATAAAGCTCAACAAATTTGTCAATGGATGTCTGCTTCTGGGTGGTCTGTTCTTCTATGACATTTTTTGGGCAAGTTCATCTTTGTTCATTCTTCGAAAATCTCCCAAAAGGTTTTTGGAACGCCTGTAATGGTATCTGTGGCGAAATCTTTAGAGGCTCCAATCAAAAGTAAGTAGTATTGGATAGATGTAAAAGAAAAATTACATGTTTCGCGACATTCTTAGTCTTTTCACAATGGTCAACTTTTATAACTGACGTTTTTGGTCCAAGTTTTCACCTATTTTTAGGGATAGTAAGCATTGGATAGTATATAAAGGCAGATTGTATTCATAAACCGTCTTCATCATAGTAGGTTGTCCCTTCCTGCTTGAATTGAATGCATTCGTAAAAGTTCCTACCTCGGATAGCAATATATATATATTCACACGTCTGAATCCAGACTGTTTGAGTAACGGGAATGTTTAACACACGAAAGGTCAGGCTGAAGCTATGACGCGTCTACCTATTCTATCGATCGGGCTTATAACGAGATCTCCCAAGGCGAGAACGAATTGAGAAGGAAGCCTGGTACGAGCGTTTGTAGTGTATGTGACCTGCAGCAGAAATTGTACAGTGGGCAAAGCGCACGATACAACTCACCGGAAATTGTCAGAGTCGAGGTCATATGAGTTCTCGAAAAGGAGGACAACAAAATAGACTGGGGTCGAATCGGGGGAATGGCGTTGGAAAGGGAAAATAATGTCACTACAAATGCAGCTCACTCACTCCTAACTATTAACCTGTATTGTCAGAATAAATTCTACAATTATTGTACACCGGCGATTACTCGAGGCCAACTGAAACAAATCAAGAGAGTTTTTCGCTGATAACTGACCAAAAATCTATGTTTTCTGATCAGTGAGATAAATTTTTGGTGAGCACAGCTAGCAAAACTACAATAAGAAGCCTTAGTAGTAGGCTACTGACTCACCACACCTTTTAGAATGTGCTCGGTTGAGTCTGTGGTAGGCAAGTTTTGGCACAAAAGTCCACTTCATTCCTTCGCTTGAAGGGATTTTAAGCCGATCTTTTCGGTGGTTCTCTCCATGATATTAGCATCGTGTCTAGCCCAATATCAATAACACTTTGAAGGCAACTCATAACCGCAGAAAAACGAGAGACCGGTGACAATAAACCGAGACTTTCGTGTACGGAAAGTTTTATCTCGACTCCCAATTCAATCTGAGTCAATAACGATACGATCCTAGAATGTCAACGAAATACGAAGAATAGGTTATTTCCTTAAGTTATCGATCGCACGAGGTTTAATCGATTTCCTCCCAAGAAGGTAATTACACCACTTATATAAAGACTACCCAAAACTTTCTACAAACTTTAGGATAAACGTAAAACATCCCAGCCAACAGATTTTCTGATGATCTGGTACTTATGACAGGGCCATATATATATATATATATATATATATATATATATATATATA